GCCGGTGCTGGTATTGCAGAGTAATCTCCATTTATACTGAGAAAAATACCTGTGTTGTATTGCCGGTATTACTGCAATACCAGCATGGCCATGCCTTAAATACCGGCTGTGCCAGCAAAATACCAGTCAGGTGGCAAACCTAAGAGTGGGCCTATTCCATGGGCCTGAGCCTGGAGCTGCAGCTCCATCAGCCCCTATGTTAATCCGGCCCTGACAATATTGCTTTGTCGATTGATGTCAGAGCTTTAAAGAATAAATGAAAAAAAATGTTCTATAGCTCACTAGACCACTGGCTTTTAATGAACAGTTTGCACAACACTTATAAATAGTTTATTATACTGCACATTATAGCTGTGACAACATGATATACAGTGTAAAAATGCTATTTCACTGTTTAATAGACTTACCCAGTATTTAAGGACGACATGTTTCTTGCAAAGTCATCGGGACTTTGAGGGAGGTTCTAACTACGTTAAATTAATTAATTAATTTACTAAAGAAAAAGAAAAAAGAAGAGGTTTTGTTTTTCCCCTGCAAGTGAGTGTTCAGCGCAAGGTCATCTTGTGTTCACAGACTATTCGGATTTTTTTTTTTTAAAAAGCTGTTCTTTATCTCACATTATGAACGGCCTTGTAATTCCTATGCACACTAAAAGTTGGCTTTTAAATGTTATTGTTTTAACTTTAATATTTCATAGTTAATACAGAGAATAAAGTAATTTAAATAAAGTATATTGAAAGTATATTAATTGATAGGATTTCATTTATCTATTTTGGTCCACTGTTCACTGATCTCAAGTCTCAGTCTGGTGTTCAAACAGTTTTTCTTACGATACGTCGTGAGTTTATATCCACAACTGCATTTTGCTTTGTGGAAACAAATTGAATGCCTGGCATTGTAATACGTGTATGGACATGCTTATAACAAAGCATGGGCCCTCTCCTCATGTAGTTGGTCATTCAAAAACATAGCCCGCGTTCGCCCCTTTCTTACGCAAGATGCTACCATGGAGCTTGTCCATGCTCTAGTAATTTCCCGCATGGATTACTGTAACCCTCTCCTGATTGGTCTCCCCAAAAGCCGTATTGCCCCGCTACAGTCTGTAATGAATGCTGCAGCTAGACTGATTTTCCTCTCTAGTCGGTCCTCTCACACCTCACCCCTCTGCCGGTCCTTACATTGGCTCCCTGTATGCTATAGGAGTCAATTCAAAGTGCTAACCCATACATTTAAAGCACTGAACAGTTCTAGCCCCGCTTATATCTCTTCACTGATCCATAAATATGCCCCTCCACGTACCCTCCGCTCTGCCCGTGACCACCTCCTGACCGCTGCTCGCACCCGTACGGCCAACTCGCGCTTGCAGGACCTCTCGCGGGCGGCTCCTCTCCTATGGAATAGCTTGCCTACTGCCATCAGACTCTCCCCTAGTCTTCAATCATTTAAGAAGGGCCTTAAAACCCATCTCTTCAGGAAAGCTTATGGCCTCCCAGAGTAATCTCTACCTTACATACCTGTCTCCTGCTCTCTCCTATGGGACAGTGCTTTGCTCTCTCCTCCAGCTCTGCTTCACTCCTACTTGATATTTATTGTCCTAATGTTTCAAATACCCCACCTCCAATAGTCTGTAAGCTCGTTTGAGCAGGGTCCTCTTCAACCTATTGTTCCTGTAAGTTTTCTTGTAATTGTCCTATTTATTGTTACACCCCCCCTCTCAAAATATTGTAAAGCGCTACGGAATCCGTTGGCGCTATATAAATGGCAATAATAATAATTAACAGGCACTTTGATGCAATGTGTCTACCAACGCTTTTCTGTGGTCACTGGATCACATCGCATACCCTATCTCTCAGTCATGATGCAGAGTTGATGCTTGCAAGGATATCCAGACCTCATCCACCTGGTATCCACATAAATACTCCTATCGTTTAGAGGGGTTAATTACATAATAACCATTGAAGGTAATATGTTGGTTGTTCTTCCTATAGAGGAAAGATAGACTTGCCCAAAAGCTTTTTTATGGCTAGGACAAGCTCTTATAGAGAGAGGTAATGTACTTCTGACTCCTGAAAAGGAATACTGGTGGTCCAATATGGGAAATACTGTAATTCATGTGTTTAGTAATCATAAGCATTTGCTTATTGCCACATTACTGATGTACTGTTTATTGAAAAATTAATATCTAACATACTTTTTTGGATTACTATATATTGGAAGTGTGCCAACATCTCATGGTTATAAATATGTTTTTGTATGTGTTGATGCATGTACCAGGTTTACTTGGATATATCCTGTGCGAAGTGCAACCTCTGATGCCACGTTTTCTAGTCTCACTTCCTTAGTATGTATTTGATAATCCCAGGACCATCCATTTGGATGGTGGTCCTGCACTTACTGCAAAGGAAACCTAAAACTGGGCAACCACATTTGGGTTACTTTGGGATTTCAGTGCCCCAACCACCCCCAAAGAAGTGGGGTTGTGGTCTGGGAAAATGCTGAGGTTAAATGATTATTAACCAAGTTACTAGTTGCTTGCCCCACACAGTGGTATCTATTTATTCCTATGGTACAGATGAGCATTCACAAAATACCTGATGATACAAATGGTGAGACACAATATGAAATGTTACATGTTTTTCAGTGACAAACATATTTCTGCACCAGGGAGAGCTTAGAACCATTGGTTCTATTAGAGAAATTTAGGGAATTTTTTTTTCCAGCCTTGCACCACCAATTTTTTCTTACTGTTGGCCAGTTTGTCCTGGAGAGGGTGACTCAGATAACTTTTACTACAGAGAACAATCAGAGCCAACAGAGAACAGTAAGTTTTGATATTTTACAACCTGCTAAATATTAACAGGACGTTCACAGAACCACTGACTGACACAGTGAATGCTCTTAAAGATGGCAAGATAAAACAAACAGAGGACGACAGAAAAGCCACCAGAATCATAGCCACGTAACAGACTGAATCATGATCTGACATCTGAACCTGCAAATGTGAAGGAGAAGGATGAACAGACAGACGTGATACATTCACAGTTAATATGGAATGTACGAAAAATGAATCATCAACATCATTATAAGAAAGACTCTGGAGAAAACAGACTGAACCTGAATTATCTTATACAGTAAGAAAGAAATGCAAAGATGGAAGCAAAAGGATGCTAGAAAATTGGTTATGGTGTCTCCTTCTTACAATCTGCAGCATTATCATAACATCAACCCTAGCTGTCGTTTTAAAACTGCATTGGGATTATGTTAACAAGCAGGAAGCACCTGAACTGAATTGGACTGCACACTATACAAGTTCTGTGATCGTGAGGACTACCTCCAAGAACCATCTCAAAAGGAGAGACATAGCACACAGTGAAATGATTGCCTACACTGGTATTTCACAAGGAACCTATTGAGATTATTCCAAAAACCGATTATACATGAGAAAGATGTGATTGGGCAATTACAAATCCTAATAATGGAATCAACAAATGGCAAAGCATGCTGAAAACAGAAAAAGACGGGAAAGATGCTTTGGATGCACCTATGAAGGTGATGCAAGAAAAGACTTTGCCATATAGTTTATCATTGAATGACTACCGCAAACAGCCTTCTTATGCTGAAAAGAAGTGCTATGCTAATTCTGGACATTGCTATTATGTTTCCAGACAGAAGATGACCGGAAAAAGAAATAAAGGCTGATAACTGTCAACACCCAGCTGTTTCTCAAGATGGAACATGGTACTGAGAAAACCTGATTGACTATCAAAGCACCTCACAGTACAAGACACAGATTGTTGCCTACAACTCAGAAAAAGTGGTTAATAGGAAGGATCATAAGAAGGGGAATATAGATTTCCTACTGGAGAGAAAAACTATCCTGGAACAATATTCTGCAACAATGAACTTTACAATGACATTTGGTGGCATATGAATTTGAATTTGGTAGAAACACATTAATTAACGAAAGAAACCTTGATGCAATTAATAAATAATAACAATACCGGCTTACTAAGAGCAGATGTCCTGCCAAGAGAATGGAATATAAAAAGACCAACAAAATCTTTCAGAAACCTGACATCACAGGACACTTGTACTAAAGCACGATTTGCAGCTTTTCTTAAACTCTACATATTATGTACATACCTGCAAAGCAAGGAACTCCTGTAAACATAAACACAGAGACATTGATACAACAAGGAATCTGTAATGGTTCTGTTGCAGATGTGATCTACCGTCGTACTCCTTGCTCTTTTGGTATAACTATACCAATCAAAACATTAAATGGCTCTCTAGGACCATAGACCAAGCATTCTTGCTATATTCTGGACTTTCAGGAATGTGGTGCATAGACAGAAAAATTATAACTACTAAAGCAATCATGCTATTTTTTTCCCTGTATCAGAAATGTGTCAGTGACAATGTGTAATATAATACAGATACTATAATTAATGGTATAAGAAACACATAATGTGTTAATTACAAAGGTGGATAGACTTTGTGAATATCTGAAACGCAATTGAAGATTATTGCTAAAATGCCATATGCAGCTGCAGTCTGGCCTACAAACAAATATATTAAACATACTTAGAAGAGTATAACAGCTAATTACCCAGATGAATAATTCAATCATGATAGTTAAAGATCATATGATTGCAATAACAACTGCAATAATGAATAAGGTTTAAACTTTAGAAGAAAATATAAAATGTTTTTATTAAATCAGAAACTACTCAATATTCGTTTAAGTTTGCAGAGTGGTATAATTAATATAAGTGAAATACTTCAACAGTTAAAATTTAACTGAAAGACAGGCAGAAACTTTACTTCAACTATCATAAAGTTTATTATAATGATAAAAATATTCAGTCTGCCAGAGCTAAGGCCAGTCAATGGAAAGTAAGAGAGTATTATGGATTAACCCATCCAGGTGATATACATGATTTTGGAAATTAATAATTTAGGTCACCTATTGCAAATTGGTGAAAAGATGTCAAAGATATAAATGCAACATCCATACCACTCTATGTATATATATTAAAATACACATAATCAAATATTTTATCAGTTTTTCAAATACCAAGAAAATGTTATTTGGTTTGAGACGGTTAAAGGTACATAAAACCACCTATACAAAGGTAGTGTTAAAATATAAATACCTTCAATATTGTATCGGAGTGCTTTTTTAACTCACTTTTAAAAATAATAAAAAAATCCAAATCATCTTAAGCTACACCCAACAGCCTCTTGTAAATATACTTAAACAATTAAGATTCACAGTGTTAAGCATCCAATCTCACGAACTTAACTTTCCACAATGGCTGTCAGATCTTGGTAAAAAAATGTTTTCTAAGACATATTTTGGGGGTTTCTGGTATTTTAAGCCACTAATAACTGTAGTTATTATATTTACTAATAACAACTAGGGAATAAGTTGTCTTCTCCCTAACAGGTCAAAGAAAGATAATTAACATCATATTTCCAATTAGCAACTATTCTAAATAAATTGAGAGATTTTGAATAAAAGAGTATTTTTAACATTTAAAGAGAATGTAATTGTACATACCATTGTGAACAAAGGTGGTAAATACTTTGCTGCTTCAAATTATCCTTATATCTCTAAATCCTATACAAGAGTGTTTATCTTTAAAACAAAACACTAGAAAGATTAACTATGTTACTATTTCATCTATCATTATTATACAAAGTATAACAAATGTAAAGATTTTTCCACAGATTTTACTTGTTAATATTTTTAGCACAACAGCACCTGATGTCAGTGAGATGTCTATAACTGAGATGTTACAAAGATTCCAATACAGCAAAAAGAGGTGTTCTTGAGAATCCACTTCAATTGCTGTATCAACATAACATTTACTATAATGGGATCCATGTCACTTAAGACAATGTCTTGGAAATGCTGTCAATTAATTTATTCCGTAAAAGAATATCGGAGAGTATCCAATCTATACACATCATAAATGGTGTAAAAAATGTTTCATGGAAAAACAGAATAAAAAGCAAAGACAAAGACAAATACCAACGCCATCACCACAGATGATGCTGATCAATATCCGCAACCAATTCTAGCCAAATATTTGGAAAGCTGGACTCTACAATCAATATTATACAACTAATACCCGGGTATTCTACAAATACAACCTCCAGCAATGTATCTAAGGAATGTAAACTTCTACAAGACTTTGGATTACAAATACAATTACTAATCCAATGTAGGATTGCCCTACATTATTTTAAACCGGAACACCATAACAGCAGGAAATCGATTGAAAAAGCCTTTGTATAAGGTGAAACGTGTCTCGGACAACAAGGACTTCTTTTTTATTGGACCATTACTTAATGGTATTTTATTTAATTTTTATATATGTAAGTTTAATAAATTTATTTTATTTTCTTCATCCAAGTTCCTTGAATTGTCATTTTCCTGCTGCTAAAGAGAAGAGTGCCCTCTTAAAGGCACAGTGCGGTTTTAACTGAGAGCCCAGTATACATTGGCTCTCAATAAGGTGAGCAAATATCCTTATCCATTTGCATTGCTCCATTGATTTAAAGGATACTACACAAGGATTTCTTTGTTCCTTTGTTTCTCTTTTTGAGCATCTGAAAAACAGTGTAGAAGAAGTTGGGTATCTACTATAAATACCACTGTGATTGTGATTTGAGCCTATCCTCTCCAGGCTCTCAACCATGTGAGTTTGCTACAATTCAAGTTTCATCTCAAATTTCTCAAAGCCTCTATATACTGCACCAATTGTTTTTTTCCTGTCTCTTTCCCCTAGATATATTTATGTGCATATCTGTATCCCTTATTATAAGGGTAAGTTGTATTTTATAATATTAGCGCTCCACTGGGCTTTGTCGGTTGTGACAATTGGTCTCACTTATAAACGCTCCACTCTTTCTCTGCATGTTTTTGTGTTACGGTTGGAGGTACCTACACATGTGTTGAGCTGCTTACCACAATTTGGATTTTATATTGTATTACACTTTAAGCGCCTGTACTCCACAGATTATTGTATTATATTTTTTTATCAGTGCATAATATGTTTGCGCCATTTTGTCCCAGACGAATTACAATAACAATAATGCATAAACAAGCTTCAAGGCTATACTACGACTCTTGCAGTACACAATATACTGTGGTAACCCCAAGTTAATGGAACTTCCCCAAATCCGGGAAACTCCCACGACTGTACACTTACGACTTAGTATAAACAACAGATAACCTATTCAGACTTTAAGATGCCATCTTGAATTAAGTCAGGAAAATTTCCATGACGTATAAACCCTTTAGTTATGGCCTTGTATGTTTGCCAAATTAAGGGAGGTCCTAAATTGAATAAAGTAAAAGAAGTGTTACTTTTTCATATTTGAACTACAGTAACCTAAAATGGAGACAACTAAGGTATAAATAGGTGTACTTTTAAATGTTAAGACACAGAGGAGAGACTTAGAGACAGACGCTGCTCCATCTTAAAATGACAGAGAGGCTGACATGATGACATGTTCAGAAGGGTATGTTAACCTATTAATGATATTTGCAAGCATGTAATTTAATCTTATAAACTCTGCTATAATGGATTTTATATTTAGATTTTTATATAATAAATATCCAAAAGACAATCTTGCTTCCAAGACAATCCTTATTTTATATTGTATTCTCAATTATTTATATATGTTAAATAGAGGATCTCTTACACTATATAAAATTATGGCTAAGATATCTGTATGGTTAGCCCTACTAAGTTCTATGCTTTAAGACATTATAGTGGTAAATAAGGGAACCAGACACGGTTACAGGGTTGAATAGAGACCTTTCAGATTCCCGGAAGTGACGTCACGCGCACGATCGTACTTGCGTGCGTGATGACGTCACTGAAAAGGGATAAAGTAGTTCAGCTGGAGTTCTTTACACTCTGTAACGACTACCCTGGTATGGTGAGGGTACCAGCCGTTGGGGACGTCCTTTTCTTCCCGGCAAGTCGCTGTGTAGTGATGGAGTCGCCTATTCCCTTCTGCTGGATCAGGAGTGGAAGCCAAGTACAGCTCTGAAAAGAGCTAAGTGATTAAGCTGCATAGATTCCCCTTTCAAGAACGAGACGAGGCTACGTTTTGAAGGGTCAAAAAGAACTGAGGGTTTATTGACAGACACTCTCTTTTATGCGATTCTGCCCATGCAAGGGAGACACCCACATAATTAGCAGTATAACCAATCAATACAATATACATTCTGTACATCCCCTCCCCTTAGATAACTAAATAACACAATTAAAAAGGAACATATTTTCCCCAAAGTTCGGATGTACCCCAAATACTGTATCTTGTATCTATGATACTAACATATTTAAAAATCAGCCCATTCGGTTCAGCCGTTCGGGAGATATGTGACTTAGAAGTTTTGACCGACCGCACTAGCACAGTAGCCGAAAACAGTTCCATGAATGCTGGCCCTGCAGTCGGTCTAAGATTGTGGGTAAAAACTCCCGAACGGCCGGCCATTCGTATGCCATCCTGGGTTCGCTGAAATCCCCATCTGTTGCTGATTCTTTCTACCGAACGCCTGGTCGTTCGGTAGTTTTGCGAGGTTTTCCCGAAGGTATGGAGGTCTCAGCGGTGTTCACCTATTTGAGTGTCCGATTTTAGTTCCAGACACTCGACGGCAAACACCGCTGTTCGGGAGGTAAAATGGCCGCGAACACGTGGAAGTCCCGAAATGGCGGCTGGGCTTACAGCTCTCATAGCGTTCGTGCGGTCTTTCGACAAAAAGTGCCCATCAAGCAGGGAGGTAAATTAGTCTCAATTAACAGTCAGGGTGACCTGTTAGAGGTAGGTAAGCATTCGCATGGAGAATGCTTGCAAAATACCGAACTGCCTTGTAATCCATAGGTCTTTCCAGGCTAACCGTGCTTTTTGTTACATGGCTCCCCTTTTGTGGGACACCCCGGCAGACTTGGATTGATCCTTTTAGGGTCACCGTGGGGCTGTCCGGATTTCGGTTAGGGCATTAGTTCGGTTTGTCTGGACAGGCCATCCGCGTTCCCGTTGAGTTTACCCGGCCGATATTGTATGGAAAAATTATAAGGTTGTAACGCCAGGCTCCATCTTAATAAACGGCCATTATCTCCGGCCACGCGGTTCAACCACACGAGGGGGCTATGGTCAGTGATGAGAGTGAACTTCTGACCATACAAATATGGAGTCAATTTCTTTAGGGCCCAGACCAGGGCTAAACATTCTTTTTCCACTGCCACGTAGCTCACTTCCCTGGGTAGCAGTTTTCTGCTTAGGTACGCGACAGGGTGTTCTCCTCCATCTTCCCCGATCTGGCTTAAAACTGCCCCCAGTCGGTACATGGAGGCATCTTAAAAACAGAACAAAGAGTAAGCGCTAGCTAATATGAGGGCAGCAACCTATAAGGGAATCCCTCAAGAACCCTTAAAAATAACACAGAGAGAAACAGAATAAAAAATAAGGGCTGCGCCAATACACAAATAAAAATAGCAAATAGTCCAAATAAATAGCTGTAGTAAAACAGAAAAATCTTATCTAGAATATGCTCTTTGAGGTCATGGGATCTGTCCGTGCTTGATCCGGAGCAATTGTCCTTTATATGTTCATCCGTGAGAATCCACTCGTATATAGAAGAAAAAAAAAGGGTGGAGAGTTTAAAACAATAAAAATGAATAAAATGGGAGGAATAAAACTCACATTTGAAAGAGCTAAACTTGCTCTAGTATAGAAGGCGTACAGCGGTTTGATCCCCGCTTATGGGATATAGGGTGGACTTCCTCCGTCAGTGGTGTATCCGACACTCGGGTAGAAAGAAACAGCCAATAGTGTACACTGGATAAAATGTTGGTAATAAAATAGAATTAAAAATGGGTACTCACAAGGCGGGAGCAGAACAACTGCTCCTTGACGTAGCGCTGGTGGTATAATCCCCACCTAGGATTTCTTGGAGTCCGGGATGTTGAGAGAATGCCAGGTGATAAATAAATATAGAGTGTATAAAAGGATAAGTGGCACAGATAAAAAGTAACCAAATATACTTTAATATATATAAAATACACAATTAAAAGTCCATAAACGCGTTTCGCCAACAATGGCGTTATCAATATGGGGTAAGAACCTGAAACCTGGCATAACATTGTTTATATAACAACTGTAATTCTATAAAATTGGCGCCAAAAGTGAGCAGCCAATCAACAAAGAGTT